CGTCTCTCACACTGAGGACCAATCACAGACGTCTCTCACACTGAGGACCAATCACAGACGTCTCTCACACTGAGGACCAATCACAGACGTCTCTCACACTGAGGACCAATCACAGACGTCTCTCACACTGAGGACCAATCACAGACGTCTCTCACATTGAGGACCAATCACAGATGTCTCACACACTGTGGACCAATCACAGACGTCTCTCACACTGAGGACCAATCACAGACGTCTCTCACACTGAGGACCAATCACAGACCTTCTGTCTTTATTTTGAGTGCGGTGCGAACCAGGGCGAAGAGCGTAGCGTTAAAGGTCACCATCCCGTCAGAGTTCAGAGGCATGTTCATGGCCACCAGCCGCTGAGATGAAGATGAAGAAGAGGAGGGGTAGATACAGTGAATCAGTTCCAGGTTTCCCTGAAAGGTTCTGAAGGCTGCTGGGTTTTTACCTTACAGGCGACTCTGTGAGGACACAACTTCCCAAACCCTAGAGGAGGCTGGATCCTGCGGAGGAGAGCCACTACATCCAAATGTTTGATCCGACCTCTGAGAAGATAAAACACAACGTTCTCTTAATTCAGAACCAACAACACCAACAGCAATAACAACAAAACCAACAATAACACTTGTCAGATTTCACCTTCTTCAGGTGACTAAAATGTAGGATCTCAGGCCAACAAAGACCTGAATGACCTTCAGCAGGGAGGGCAGGGAGAGTGATTTGCATGTGGGTTCAGATATGTGCATTTGAAAGCTTCAAAATCTTCAGTTTCAAATGGGAGGAGAAACATCTTCACAGGTCAACATATTTCATGTGAACCTTTGCTCTGAGTGCTGGTGTATAAAACACTAACACATCTGTCTCTTTATGTTAAGCTAGGCTAACAGGAAACAAATCCAACATACTTGGCCTCTGGATCGTACTCGGACCAGATCCTTTTGAACTCATCCAGGTGATGTGGCCCCAGAATCGACCAATCACGTGTCAGGTAGTCGAAGTTGTCCATGATGACGGCAACAAAAAGATTGATGATCTAAAGGAGATCCAATCAGAAACAACTTCCTGTTCAGGTTCAAGTGAAAATGATAAAAACTGGATAATAATAAAATTAACTATAACTATAATAACAAGAACAAGAACAAAAACAGGAACAAGTACAAGTACAAGAATAAGTACAAGAATAAGTAAAGTACAAGTACAAGAACAAGAACAAGTACAAGAACAAGTACAAGAACTACTGACCAGGAAAGCGCACAACATGAAGAAACTGATGAAGTAAACAATGGCAAAGTTGCTGCCGCAGCTGAACTCCTCTCCTGGTTCGTAGTCTGACTCAGGGTCGCACCGTTTACCTGGAAGACTGGCTAACATGATCTCCTGCCAAGCCTCACCTGTGGCACACCTGCACACACACACACACACACACACACACACACACACACACACACACACA